CTTCTTATTCATCCATGACATGCATATACTTATTCCGGTTTGATATTGTAAATACTGCATAGGATTAGTGGTGAATTGAAGATGAAACCTATATCAACTACTTAGCTAAAAATGCTACTTTTTTTGATATGCTTTTTTAATAGTATAGTTTTGTAACATTTAAGTGGTGTTTATGTAATTGTAATATCATTTTGTAATGGTTAATGATATTTGTGTTATATTTGTAAAAAGTAATAAAAACATTGCAGAGAATAAATAACCAAAATTAATTTGAAACATATTTGTGATTATTACAATGGATATATTACATAGTACAAACTTAACATTTTAGTAACCAAATAACCCCATATTGAATTTGACTATAATATTTATTATTCAATAAAACATATACAGTAATTCCAACCAATAATTATGAAAATTTAAATATATACATTTGAGAATAAACGGAACAACATTTTTTAAGTTCCCAAGATGTATTAAAACATGCCATCTTAAAACAGCCCTAAGCGTGACTTTTTCGAAAATTTTTAATTTGACTTTTAAACATCATAAAATTATCAATAACTATCAGTCTAATGTGATATTTTAAAATGTTACGGAATCATTTGCACAACATCGATTCGCTTAGTTAAAAAACGAGTATTTGTATTACCCGCCCGTTTATTCAATTGTTTTTGCAGATATTGTATTAAATCATCGAGACACAACTTTGTGGGTAATTTCCAAAGAACAATCAGTTTTGCCAGCATAGTCCACTACCAACTGTCAATTTGTTTGGGAAATCGCAAATAATGAACGAAGATTGTCTATGCTTATATTAGGATAACATCGTTCATGACAGTCCATTAATTCATCAAAAGACCATGTTGGCATATATAAGCATTCGGGTAAGCTTGGCAAATCTTTCCTATCGTCATCATTCCATTTCATAAATTCATTTCTAATACTCTCCTTAGAGGAAGAGGAAGAAATTAGAACTGATCTTGCACTTGCATGACGTGGTTTTACTCCATCACAGATGTACCAATTGTCAAAATTTTCCAATTCTCTTATTGAGGCAGATTTTTCAACTAGAGTACCTTCTCCATTTTGACAAATATATAGGATACCTGGATTATGAATAGTTTGAATGACAACTGTATGATTTCTCTTGATCAATTCAGTAATAAGAAAGTCACCAAAGCATGTTTTGCTACGACCAAAAGTTCCACCAATATAGACACGAGGACTTTTACAATTCAACACAAGTTGAAGAAATTGATGCCAGCAGGATCGGATATAAAGTTTTGATTTCCAGCCGAGAAAAAAATTTTCTTGCACCAGACTGATAACTCGGTTTTCTTCTGTCACATTCGAAACATTCTGAAGAAATTTAAAAAGCACATCAGGAATGGTTTCAATAAAAATAGTA